TTTGCCTCCAGAAGTTGTGGGTGTCCCAACACTGGAGGTTTTTAAAGAAGATACTGGACAGCCATTTGTCTGAAATGGTGTAGGGTTTCCTGCCTGAGAAGGGGGTTGGACTAGAAGACCTCCAAGGTCCCTTCCAACTCTGTTATTCTGTTAATACATCTCTCTTATATGAAATTAAACTCCTACATTGCACAAGACATGACTCAATGAACCATGGTACTATATATTAAATAAACTTTGTTGTTGACGCAACAAAAAAAAACCTATGTTCCATTTATTGCATTAGTGAGCCATGCCATAGCTGCAGAAATGTTCCCCCAGACTTCCTCCCCATATAGCAATATGAACCAAAAGCAAGCAAAACCCTTATCAACCATGTCCAATGTATGGCAGCCACAGGGAGGCATGCTGTCAGTTATATACCCAAAGTTTTGGTTATTGTGATTAAATGTTTGTCTTGTGAAAAACAACTGGAAGACTGGAGTTATTGCTATGGAGACCTGCACAAGAATTATTCATCACTTGTTTTCTATTCTTGTGATGTTGCCACAGCAGCAAGTTGGGGGGGATGGGGAAGTCCATTTATTAACATAGCTGGTACTCTGCTAATATTTTGATGGAGACAAAAGACACTGTAAACTGTGGGTGAACCAAACTAAAGAGGCCACTTCATGTGGTTTGTAAACCATAGCTTAAGGGTTGCAGTTTGTGTAAATCTGGACACTGTCATTGAGGCACCAATGAATTATGAAAAAATCAAATAGTGGCCATGACCATTTAATCTTATGTTGTGATAGTTTGATCACACATCTTTACTTTCTTCATCCTTCCTCCGTCTCTTGTTTGTCATCCATCCATTAACTTTTTGGCAGATTCAGCCTTTAACCAAACATTTGTGAGTCCTATTGATTTCAGTGGCTAAAACTGGTATCAATAAAGATTTGCAATTCTATGTCATCTCACAGAGAAAGACTCCTGAAGAAACAGATGTATGATCATGGCAACCCAGGGTTTACTGGGAGGTGCACCCCTTGCCTTTTTGTGCATGTTTATGGGTCTTAATATTACAGGTTGACAACATCAAGCAGAAGCCAATGTTGGTATGTCTTACAAGACCCAACTATGCTGAAGGTGCAGAAACATAATTTCTTAGGGACAATGGTTAGCATCCCTCTACTTCCTGATTTATAATTGTCTTCATTAAATAATATTATGTAAAACATTATTGAGGATTATTCTATCAAAGAGGATACTGTGCTATTCAGAGAAATATAATGACATATTTATCAAATTTATATAACCACACATCTTACAAGTGACTCTGTGTAGTGTTAATACTAGTTAATACTAGTAGTGTAAAACCAGTTAATACTAAACAATTATTATTAAAATATTAAAAAGCTATCAAAACAAAACTAAAAAAAGAAATATTAGATGAAGTGCAGCCACCTGAATAATTCATCAAACCTATGGCAAAATCAGGTTTTGATGAATCTTCAGAAAGTCAAAAGTGATGAAGCCAGACTTGCTTCAGGGGGGGGACCATGCTCCATAAAGAAGACACCAAAGCAGATTCTTCACCTAGAACTCAATAAGTATAACTCCCTAGGCAATGGGGTCCACAGATGTCCTCTCTGCTGGATCTGTTGGGTTGGGTAGATGCAATTGGAGAGACAGGTTCTTCAAATAACCTAGTACCATGTCATGCCATGCCATGCCGTGTTGATCATTCATTCATTCCTCCATTCATTCGATTTCTGTAGTTGCCCATCTTAGCAAATGACTCTGGGCAGCTACGGATTTTAAAGGTCGAAACTACACTTTAACCAAACAAACAAACAAACGAACTGGTAACCAACGCAGCTCCACTAGAAACACATTCTGTAACTGTGCTACTGCATTATTCACCAGTTGAAGCTTTCAAATGTGCTTCGAGGACAATTCCATGTAGATTACATTGCAATAGTCCATCCGGGAAATGAGTAGGATGTGTATGACTCTGAGTAGACCCACTTGATCTAGAAATGGATGCAAGTGGGATACAACACAAAGTTGTACAAAGGCCCTCCCTGCCATGTCTGCCATCTCTCTTCAAACCCAATTGATCTGGGATGAATTTTATTTGGCGGATCACATAGCTATCATTTCTTTCATGTTTGTGTGATTGAATTTTTATTCAAGTTTTTGAGCAAATAATGAATTGGGAGCTAGTGACCCATTTCTGTCTAAAGACATATAATTTCTTTGTTCCAAACCACATTTCCATTCGGGGCTGCTCATAGTTATTTAAAATGTGTGTCTGTTTATTAATATGCCCAGATACAAATCAGAATTACTAACATTTCAGCAGGCATATAGTGGGTAAGACTGTGCTTGATTTGTAGGGTATATCTTCTTCTTCTCCTCACTTTACCTACTGAGTTTCAGTTCTCATCTTATCATGAGTTTTTTCTACAAGCATCAGAATCACATGGATTCTCCAAAGGAGCACAACTTGCCAGAAGATCTTACTGTTGCTCATGTGAGTACCTTATCTATTGGACTCACATGGCTCCCAGTCACAGGCCACGACTCCGGAATGAAGTGATGACACAACTTATTCTGCAAAAACAGCTATGAGTCACACTTTGGAGCAATTCAAATTCCTTTCCGAGTCTTAAAACACATAAAATGTATTCCTCCAAGAACCTATACAGTAGCTCTCTAAAGACAGATTGGCATTATTACAGTATCTCTTTTTTACAGATAAGACCATACTTGGAATTTTGTGTCCAGTATTTTGGTTGCCATGATATAAAAAACACGTTGAGACTCTAGAAAGAGTACAGAGAAGAGCAACAAAGATGATTAGGGGACTGGAGGCTAAAACATATGAAGAACGGTTGCAGGAACTGGGCATGTATAGTTTAATGAAGTGAAGGACTAGACGTGATATCTAAGGGGCTGCCACAAAGAGGAAGGGGGTAACATATTCTTCAAAGCATCTGAAGGTAGAACAAGAGGCAATTGATGGAAAATAATCAAGGAGAGAACCAACCTAGAAATGAGAAAATGACATGATACAGCTTGCCTTCAGAAGTTGTGGGTGCTCCAACACTGGAAGTTTTTAAGATGAGATTGGACAACCATTTGTCTGAAATGGTATAGAGTTTCCTGCTGGAGCAGAAGGTTGGACTAGAAAATATCCAAGGTCCCTTCCAACTCTATTAAAAAGATTGCATCTGGGAAAATAATGATTCGCCTCAGTTTGACTGAACTGCACCAAGGACTTTTTATTTAATATTGTTACTCCAGCTTTTCCCATCTTGTGCTCTCCAGTTGTGTTGGGACAGTTTCTCCTGATCCCCAGTTATTGGCCTTGCTGGTTGGGAATTCCTGCAGTTACATCACTGGAAGGAACCATTTAGTCGAAGTCCTCACCCATTGCTGGAATCCAAGTTAAAGCCTGATGGCTGCCCAGCTTGTATTGAATATTCTCAACGAAAAGGAACTCATTACCCTACAAGGAAACTAGTTGCACTTTCAGACTCCTCTTGCTGTTAGGAATCTGACTTCTAAGTTACATTTGCATGTGCTGGACACAGAATGAAGAACCATATTAATACTCTTCTGTGGGACATTTCAGATATGGAAGACTGCAGAATGAGTGGTGAAAGTGGGAAGTTTGTTGAAAAACAGTGTCCTCTTCTGGCTGAACCATGAAACTGCATTTGTAGTTTAAAAGGCAAAAACAGGTCATCCTCTCCTAACAACCATGTTTAGCAGTTATACTGAAAAGTTATATATGAAGTCACCCTTAAACCATTGCAGCATGCCCATGGTCATGTGATTAAAATTCAGGTGCTTGGCAGCTGGCATGTATTTAAGATGGTTGCAGCATTCTCAGCCAGTTTCAAACAAGCAATAAATGGGTGAAGTTAAGATTCATTCAATGACTGCATTTAATTCATTTAATGACTGCATGGTTCACTTTATAACTACTGTGATTCTCTTAACAACCATGTCAAAAAAAAGTTATAAAATCATTCATGGCTCACTTAACAACTACCATACCTGGCTTAGCAATGGAAATTTTCGTTCCAATTGTGGATTTAAGTCACGGACTACCTGTAGATTTGTATGTTAATCAGTTAAGGTTTATAGAGATTACAATAGAATTCATAAATGGGATGCTACTAGATTACTGCAATGCATTCTCCATGGGGCTGCCTTTAAAGACCACTCAGAATCACACCTGCATACTACCCCACACTTGCTGATGGGAGCAGAAGATACCTTTGCTATGGGGATACCTAACCCTGGATTGACTTCCTCCGGACTCCTGGAGGATTTAAAATGCTGGCTTTAACTTCTAAAGCAGGGGTTCTCAACCTTGGCAACTTTAAGACTTGTGGACTTCAACTCCCAGAATTCCTCAGCCAGCAAAGCTGGCTGAGGAATTCTGGGAGTTGAAGTCCACAAGTCTTAAAGTTGCCAAGGTTGAGAACCCCTGTTCTAAAGCCTTTTATGATGTGGCCCAAGTTATCCTCAGGACCTTTGCCCACTGGAATTGGCCCTGATCAATTTCATCTTGTTGGAGAAAATAGCTACTGGTTCCTCAGTTTCAGCAGGGATAGAAGATTTGCTTTTGGGAAGTTTGGAAGTACTGCTTTTCTATAGCAGCATCAATCCTCAGGAATAGCCTCCTTGTATATTTTAGAGTAGCGCCAACTTTGGCTCCCCCCAGAAGCATCTGAAAACATCTCTTCTCTTTCATCCCCTGAGACATAATGAATTAAGGTAAGAGAGATAGTATAGATATTAGTTTTCCTGGCATCTAACCAAAATAAATTACCCAGAATCTTTTGTGATGCTTCAACAAAGTGTATTAAAAATCACTTTGTAAGTAAAAGCCCTTGTTATAGAGGCAAGTAGCTGAAATAAATATTTTATGAAGTGTACTGTGCAGTCTCATCTTGAAAATATGCTAAATGTCTACGTGTATACAAAAAGTAACACCATTTTCAAAAAATATCAAATCCTGTATTTAAAGCCTCTTCACTACCAACATACAGCAAATATTTGTCATCTATAAAGAAAAAAATACAGCAGCAAGTGATATGGTCTATACTTCAGAAGTGTGATTGCTTAATATTTCCATGTCATAAACAAAAGCAGTTAAATAACCATCCCAGAAGCACAAGCCAAACAACCCACCCCAAACTTCTCGGCAGTTTTTGCTCACAAGGAACACAATAAACAATACAAATTTCATTGCATAACAAGCATCATGCCCCAAATCACTCACACATGAGACAGAAGGATTAAAAAGGTTTTACTACACAGCATCAAACTACAATTGCTTTCTGAAAGGGAGTCTTCCATTGTTGGAGGAATAGTATCTCGATATGGCAGGAAAAAAATCTCTTAATATGAAGGAATAAGATAAGCAGAGATGCTGAACCCCTAGTAAGAAAGCAAGCTTTGTTTTAGCTGGGTGTTTAACCACAAAGCTTTCCCATTTTTAAAATCTGATTGTATCTTGTCTTTTCTTACTTAACTAAAGGATTTTGAGCCAGGTTATAGGGGCACGGAGATGTCCTCACACTCATATGCAACTTACAGGTTAGCCTTGGATGTCTTGATGCCAAGGACAGAACTGTGTCAGTTGCATATCATTTTGCTGTCTCTGCAGTTTCTTACAGTCCTCTTTGCCTCCAGCATCTAAGTGATGCATCAAAGGTAAATTAAAGGCTGACAGAATGTTTTATAGGCAGAAAGGTGTTCATGAAATATTTCTGTGGAAAGGGGACCAAGGCATTGAATGTGGAATTATGCCACAAGAAAAATCAAGCAAACAGCTAATAGGTTTGCAAAATGTCTGGCAACAAAGGATGATGCAAATGCTGCTCCATGCCTATCAGATAACTGAGTCTTTTTTGCCTTCCAAACCCTTAAGCAGCAGAATTTGAATGATATGCACAGATAACATTTAGAGTTTTTTAACTATATAAAATGCTGCATTACAGTTTTCTTATGTTACAATCCCTTGTTTGGGGCAATGGCTGACAACCTTTGTCAAATGCAGGTCCAGAATCTCAGCCAATCCCACCAGCAGATATAACATGTAGGAAGTCCTCCCAGAATGCTTTTATTTCTAGTTTAAGCAGGGTCCCAATCTGACATAGCTCCAGCCCTATAACCACTTACATAAAAGTCACTGAAGTTAATAAGTCTTCCTTATGAGTAGATTTGTATGGGATTATACAGATAGCTAGAAATACAAAATCATGTTTTTTATCATAATTTAGCTTAGGATGGGGAGAAAATCTCTTCTGTGAGCTTGATTTTAAGATTTAGCAAAAAAAAAGTATTCTATTGTCTTAGAAAAGCTTTGCAAAACATCTTTCAGCATTCTTCAAGATTTCATAAAATTTAATATTTCTATAGAGCAGGCAGAACACAGAAGAGTAATATTAACCTGTTCTAATTTTGATCCACATTTCTTATTTCATATAATTTTCCACCAATTTATTGTCAGTTATAGTCTCCCTTACTGCAAGCCAACATAGGAAATACCTAAATTTTTCAAATTTGAACTGGAATTCTGACAAAGTGTTTTAGTATCTTTCCACAGTTGAAACTTCTCAACACTTCACTTTAATATTTCTACATTATAGCTGATTCCTTTTTAAAGCCAATACTACACTGCAAACTGGAACATATGGAGCAAGATGATGTCATCAGGAATAACTTTATCAACTGTGTACTCAAAATGAGAAAAAGAGATGCCTCTACAATGAAGAAAAACACACCTATCCTCAAATAACTGCTTTAAATAATACAAAGTTCACTTCATTAGCATTGGGGCCCTCAATCAAAGCTGTCTGAAAATATCTAATAATTTAGCTTACTTGTGAAACTTGCCAAGTTGCAGTTCTCACCAGTAAGCTAAATTATCTGATATTTCCAAGGATCACTAGAATTCTAAACTCATCACCTGTACAAATTTCTGTGGTTTAAAACTTTAAGAGAAGCTGACAACTGAGAAAAGACAGGAAGATAACACGTAACCAGTGGGGATGGGGAAAACTAGGCCAAGAAGGGATAGGGAAGAAAATGAAGGGCCTTTTCAAATTCATTTGATTTGAGGAAATAAATATTTCCACAAACACTACAACACATATGCCCGAGTCACATCCATTCTTACCTAAATTAAGCTAGTCCATTACTTCTTAGGCAGAACAATCTCTCCTGTAAAGTTATTCCTTTAAGGAAGCTTGGAAATAGCCAATTTATGATAAATGTTAGACATCTACGTTAAGCATATTTCTGGAGATCAGAGAAGGAAGTTATCAACTTTTAAAACCTGGACTTATTAGTAAGACAGTGATGAAGAGTTGTACTCTTTATGAACCGTGATAAATGAGTCCAGCGTATTTTGTCCATGGGAAATTCCACAAGGGACTGGCTTTTTGGTGTTCACCCCAAAACTGAAGTGAGAAAACTGTACATCTAGATTGTTGCATCTACTGCCAATATTCACCAAGTACATTTTAACTAATCACGTTGCAATAATCTAATCATGAGCATTAAGAGACATCCTCAAGTAGAGAAACTTTCCTGTTTAGTTTGTTATCCCGAAACCAGATGTTCACATGAAAGTAAAGCTTCCAAATTAATTTTCAAAGACTCTGGAGCTGCCAGAGGAGCTTATACTGATTACATTTCCACCCCTTCTTGCAAGAACTTTTTAAAAGAAATTTTGCTTTCAGAAGTGAAGTGCACAAAACTCTTCAAATGGTTTTGAGGCTCACTCAAACTAAAACCAAAATGTTTTAGCTTCAGACTTAAAAGCAGGTACAGTAATTTCTAGATGGCTCCCAAAAATATGATGGCTAATACAGCTGGGAAACTCATATCAGAAATATCTATTTGAACTACCTGAATATCTAAACCAAAGTGATGCTCCCCAAGTGTGTTTGTTGTAGGAATTAAGCATCCAATACCAGATATTCATCTCTACAAAGATTTCTCAAATAGAACAAATCAAGTCTGATGCTGAGAACTGCTTTAAATTAATGTGCTTTGCTTCTCTTCAATTTGATGAAGGGTGGCTAGCTCATTTCTTCAGAAGCTTATCCAGATAACTGAAATTATTTAAATTAAGATGTGGTCTGTCAGTCAGGTCAATCCTTTAAATCCGCAATTAAGACACAGTTGTAGTATTGATCCAGGGTTAGTCCTTACTCATTAGGCTAATGTCACTTGATGAAATCTTGACTAGAGTAAGGATTAGAGAGCTGGGGCAGTCAACTTGTTTATCCTAATCCATCTCACACAAAATAAGCGTTGGAGGAGTGCTCCCTCACACCACAAATGGGCTGGCAGAACACAGGTAGGCTCTTCAAGACTCCAAAAGATTACTAAAAACTTCTCTTTGTAAATAGGTAGGGAGGCAGCCTGCCACAAGTTCAACGGTAGGGCTGGAAAAAAAAAGATAAACACAAAAACAATCAGTTTCTATTGTTCCAAGATCAAATATTTTTAGTTAAAAATAATGAAGCAGAAAAGTTAGAATTTGTCAGGTATGTATTGCCATTTTGTATGAACTACCTGCAGCTTCTTGATAACCACTTGCATGGGGTCAAAACAAATGTCAAATTCTGAGAAGGATAAACAGCAATGATTGGCCCAGAAACATTTAATGCTTGTGACAGAATAAAGGTGGGTAAACGAATCCCTGCGGATTAGTTATTGCTGACTACAGGGGGGTGGGGTGGGGTGCTCATCTCCGTTTCAAGGCCATTAAGCCAGGGCTGTCGAAGACTTTTCCGTGGTCATGATGTCACGGAGCACTGTTACCTTCCCACCAAAGTGGTACCTATTTATCTACTCGCATTTGTATGCTTTCCAACCGCTAGGCTGGCAGGAGCTGGGGCAAGGATGGGAGTTCAGCTTGTCACGTGGCGCTTGGGTCTCGAACCTGGGCTGCCAGCTTTCGAGATGACAAGCCCAGCATCTTAACCACTGAGCCTCCGCGCAACTCCCTTCTGACAGAATAGCTAGTGGAAAATGGGTTCCAGGTATTCCTCGACTTACAACCATTTGTTTAGTGGTCCTTTGAAGTTACAATGGTAACTTATGACTGTTGGTAAAGTGAATTATGACTGTTTTTCACACTTACGATCATTGCAGCATCTCCATGATTACATGATCAACACTGGGAACTGACGTGTATTTATGACGGTTGCCGTGTCCCAGGGTCATGCAATCACTTTTTGTAACCTTCTGACAAGCAAAGTAAATGGGAAAGCCAGATTCACTTAACAACCCTGTTACTATCTTAAGAACTGCAGTGATTCACTTAACAACTGTATTGTTTAGCAATGGAAATTTTAGGCTCAATTGTGGTTGTAAGTCAAGGACTACCTACACTAAGCCAACAAAACAGCATGCTTTTCAATGGCATCCATTGGCCAGAGAATGCCACTGTCTCTGTCTGTCTCAGAGCCAGACAACAACACATCATGTGAAGAGACTAGAATCAGTGGGGAAATCCCAACCTTCATATCAACAACAGCCACACCTGATCTTTCCCCCTTTTTTTTCTAAACCAACAGATATTTTATATGCAAACTCTAAGGCAGTGTTTCCCAAACTTGACAATTTTAAGGCATGAGGACTTCAACTCCCAGAATTCCACAGCCAGCAACGCTGGCTGTGGAATTCTGGGAGTTGAAGTCCACATGCCTTAAAATTGTCAAGTTTGGGAAACACTGCTCTAAGGGTTACAGTAAAGTGCAAAAAAAAAAAAAATGGGTTTGCAATTTTACCTGGACAGTGTAGAACTATCAACATCAATACCAAAAGCATCTTAAATGACATTTTATTAACCAAAGGTGTTACTGCGAACTAACTGGGCTCCACTGCATTTATATACTAGGAAAGGCTTGAGTACATCATGTTGTTGATGGAGATGCAATGAGATTAATAATTTATTTTAAACATACGTTTATACAATGCCCTATAATTGTTCCTTTTCCAAGAGGATGCAGGTAAAATCCTCACATTTTAAAAGACTGTTAAATCGGATGGTAGGACCGATTATTTCATGTTTGTGTCAAACCCAATTGTTTTAGCTACAATGCTTTCAAAAAGTTTCCTGGGAACTATATAAAAGTTTCTATATAATAGGGAAGCCATCCTATTCACAGGTATTGAACTTTCCCTGTAAGTACCCAGTTTCAAGATATGGTATAGGGCAGGGGTAGGTAACCTTGGCTCTTTTATGACTCCTGGACTTCAACTCCCAGAATTCCTGAGCCAGCATGGCTCAGCTTGGAAACCTCTCCCTGTCCCCTCAGCATGGCTGGCTCAGGAATTCTGGGAGTTGAAGTCCACGAGTCATAAAAGAGCCAAGGTTGCCTACCCCTGGTATAGGGCAATTATGAAGTTTTACTTTCCATATACAACGATGTACACTCTACACACATTTTGCAACCAAGGCTCCTTAGACAAACTCACATAGAAACATTGAAAGCCATTGCAATAAAAAATAACATTAAATGGGCATGAATTTGATTACTAGACTCCTTTCCCTCTGAAGTTTAGCTGCATCGTAACTGAGAAGTCTTACTTACATGAGGGCCACCAGGTATGGATGGTGCTCCAGCAGGCGCAGGTGGCACTTGGTAAGGATTAGGTGGTGTCGGGTACAGCCCTGGAGCTGGGTAGGATCCTGTTGGTGGAGGAAATGGGGCAGGAGGCGAAGGTCCCCATGGTCCTGGGGGGACAGCACCCCACGGCACTGTAGGAGCAGCCCCTGGAGTCTGAGTGGGAGTGGAATATGGCCCTGGAGGTGGATATGGCACACTAGGTGCAGGATACTGTCCCCCAACTGAGGCTCCCCACCCTCCAGTGGGCATGGATCCCCATGCTCCAACAGCAGCAGGGGGCGCACCTGGTTCAGTGGGACCCCCATATGGCCTTGGAATCTCGGGGAAGGGCATGCTTGGTGGTGGATATTGCCCTGGTGGGGCAGGACCAGGGGGTGGATATGGAGCACCTGGAGGACAAGAAGAACCAGGAGGAGGAAAAGGAACTGGTGCCCCGGGGGGGAGGGAAGGATACATTCCTGTTGGTGGGGGACCAAAAGGCACGTTGGAAGTCGATGAGCTAGGAGGCAAACCAGATGGAGCTGCAGGAGGAGCACTTGGTGCGTTATTCCATGGACTGGAGGTTGGCCAGGCTTGTGGAGGTTGGCTGGGCTGTTGAGGTGGTTTTGTATTGCCCACTGAGGAACTCTTGGCAGGGGAACTCTCTGGTAGAGCATCGGCCAGCTGGGAAAACAAAATATCAGTGGGATCCTGTGACCAATGCTTGACAAATGATAACTTCTTACTCATCTACAACTTCTTACTCATCTACTATTTAAACTGGAGACAATGAAAGAGGAACGAGGTATGTATGTGTGCGCGTGCGTATGAACAGGCCTGGGGAATATGCCATGCTGGAAGCCTGATGCTGAGACCATCTGAGAACAGCTACATAGGCTAGTTCAGTGGCAGCAGTGGTTGTAGGCAGGGATGGAAGGCACTGAGAAGCTCAGAGGTGAGCCAGAAAGGCAAGCTGGTGGGATACTGTATACTGTGCTGGAACATCAGCAGATCTACTGAGGGAGATGGGCAGTTTAGAAATAGGAAATATCAATCAATCAATCAATGGAGAGGGAACAGGGAGGGAGACAGAGAAGGACAGATGCCGGAAAGTGTTTGTGTGTGTGTATTTGTTGTGGGGGCAATGGATCTATTACTCTTTTGATTACCTGAATGAGTAGTCATTAACCAAGGACTACCTGTATCCCAAATTTTCTTTGCACCAAGCTGACCTACAGTTTCAGCAGAACTTCCAAAACGTGAGGAATTTGATTCAGATTCGAAACAAAGCGTATTTTCCACTTTGGGTACACCCTTGCTTATTTAGTGCTTTATAAAAACTCACTTTGTGAAAACTCATAAAAACTCACTTTTCACCTATTTAACATACTAGTGAGACTTTCTCTATAAAAAGCAACACTTCAGTCTATTGCAACATCTCAATTCTTTTCATTACTTCTTACAAATTGTTTACATTTTATGAGGCTGACAGAATGGACCACTCACCGAAAATTCATCAGCAGCCAACATTTTCCTGAAAAAGAAAACAATGATTAGTTTAATGAACTTCTGGCTGCAGTATACAAAAATAAAATAAAGGTAATTTCTCGGTCTGATGGCAGGATCCATTTGCAACCCCTCAGTTACGTATCTTTAAGTCTTCCTTTAGAGAAGGATGCAAAAGCTACAATTTAGGAACAAAGACCACAATCACAATGAAACACAGAGAGATATCACTTTAGTGCTTAGAAGAAAGAGATGCCATAAATAGCCTGTCAAAGAATGAACCTTCATCTGCCAAACACAAGAATTTTATCTGGTTTAACAGTGATTCCATTTTCTTAAGTGAGCAATGAAGTGTGACATGAAGCATTAGCAAAACCTGCTGGATCTTTGCAACCATCAGACATTCTGTTTTGGTCCTCCTGAATGGCTCTCCAAAACATCACAACTCAAAGATCTGCATACCTGTGCCAAGCCAGAGCTAATATAAATTGATGGCACAATAAAACATATGTAAGGGGTAGCCACCAGAAAATATTGTCCTCAGATATCTTTATTGCAGCTGGCATTATTCATGTTCTCCCAACCTTAGTCATTAAATCACAAATGTGTTACAGGTAGGCTTCAACTTACAACTGTTCATTTAATGACTGTTCAAAGTTACAATGGTGCTGGAAAAGTGACTTATGGCAGGTCCTCACACTTATGACCATTACAGCACCCCAGGGGCCATGTAATCAAAATTTGGTTGCTTGGCAACCAGCACGTATTTACGAGGATTGCAATGTCCCAGGGTTGTGTGGCCGCCATCTGTGATCTTCCCAGAGGGCTTCCAAACAAGCAAAGTCAATAGGGGAAGCCAGATTCGCTTAATGACTTTGGCAAAACAATGTCATAAAATCAGACATACTCACTTAATGGCTGCATGACTTAGTGGCGAAGGTTCGGGTTCCAATTGTGGCAGTAAATTGAGGACTACCTGTAATTCAGCCACAAAGCCATATGCCAAATATCAAGGTTAACCAGTAATGCTAAAATCTACTTCTGTCATTTTTGGCAGAAAACTCCTCCCTCCCCACTTCAACATGCACTTAGGGATTTTACCGAATCTGGCCTTGGCTCCCTGTGCTGAACGAGGAAACCGATGGCTTCAGCTGTTATCATTCTAAAAGAACCCATGCTGGTAAAAAATTACTCTGCCACTCAGTTATGGAAAAGCTAAAAATAGAATTCTTTCAGCGGCAATAACTGCTACTCTACTAATCATCACTGCTGGCACCACACCTATGCTAGGAATGGGGAAAGATAAATATAACCAGATAGTTCTCGCTTGCTGCTTATTAAACCTAGGTTGGACCTAGCTGTGATCAAAAGAGGCAAAAAGGTTCTTGCACATCTCACCCTCAGGGAGAAGCCTAGAAACAGGCAATACTATACCCACTGAGAGAAGACAGCAACATTGAAACTCAAGTAAACGGATCAAGAGCTATATTCTATACCAGTGGTGGCAAACCTATGGCACGCATGCCAGAGGCGGCACTTGGAGCTCTCTCTGTGGGCACATGTGCCATTGCCCCAGCTTCCCCCCCCACTACCCTCCTCACCAGCAGCCCCCCTGGAGGAGTCGCCACTGAGCATAGCCTACACAGAGCAACGCAGCCAAGGACATGGCAGCCAGGCAGTGTAGACAAGACTCTGCCCTCACATCCCATCGCGCACAGTTGATGCTGCAGGGCGCGGGCAGAGGTCGTGGCCGCCATGGCGCTGTTGGGCTGCCTGGGAGATCTGTGTCGGGCCCTGGAGGCGGTGAGTGTCCCTGCGGGCAGGCAGGGTGGGGGACAGTGTGGGGGGGGAGCAGGGGCAGGGACAGTTTTGGGGCACTTGGTCTCTAAAAGGTTTGCCATCACTGTTCTATACTGCCTACATGATTTCTTTGAATATACTATTTTACGGTAGAACGTAACAGGAGTCTGAAGAAATAGCTTGAGTTAGGTAAGCATAAGACAGTATAATGACCATAAACTGATTTCACTCTGTTGATGAAACCAATTATCTCTTAAAAATATCTGTTTCAATATTGATAGTTTACTTATTTAATACATTTGTAAGTCCACCCAAATCAAACTGGGATTCTGGATTCTGGTTAGCATACAATGCAAGTATATAGCAACAACAAAAATACAACATTAAAAAAGAGCACATAAAATATAGCATGTAAAATGACAAACGTGATAATAACCAAAAGAGATTCCACTAAACATCATTCAAATGCCTGGAAAAACGGGCTTTTTTAACAGCTTTCCTAAAGGCAAGTAGAGTTCATATATTGGAGGTAGATTGTTCCAGAATACAAGGGCAGCCACTGAGAACACACATGCTTCCTAGCTTCCATAAGATGATAATGTTTAGATGTGGGAACCTGGAGTATGCCTTCCCTATGGGAGTGGGTGGGATAGACAGGTGTTCTTGGGAGAAGATAATCCCACAAATAGCTCAGTTCTATTAAACATATTAAAAACATATTAAGCACCTAAACATAATAATCTACACACCATACAATTAATGTCGTATAAACATCTTGTTTTAATAATATTTTTTATTAAAATTGACAGATAGAGATAACAAATACAAACCAAGGAAAATATAAAAGAAAAAAGTGCAGAGAGAAAAAAATTAAAAAAACAAAAGAACCTCACATTTTGCCATAGGAAGATTTCTTACCCTTAGATTCAAAATCTTCATATATTTTAAATGGGATTTTAAATAACCCACAGGAAGGATTCTTATAATTAATTTTAAAATCTTATTTCCAATCCATCTGGCCCTTAGTCTGTTTATAAGTTTCCAAAAATCGCTGTTTAATCATCCCTTTGCCGTTTATTTCAAAGTAAAAAGAAATTTATGTCCTTAAATATATGTGAAACTTCTTGTAATGAAACCTGTTGTTCTGAAGGTTCTTAATATCCAAAAAACAGTTAACAAGTAATTCCAGAAATGTGGGTAAACACAATGTCCATTTGAAGGCTCCTAACAACAGCTAAGGCAAAGCTGCCTTTCCCTTATTTTCTAGAGCAGTGATGGCAAACCTTTTAAAGACTGAGTGCCCAAAACCCGCCTCCGTCCCATCTTGCCCGCTCCGCTCCCACCCTGCCTGCCGGGCCACTCACTGCCTCCACGGCCCGCTGCAGATTGCCCAGGCGGCCCAGCAGTGCCATGGTGGCCACGCCCTCTGCCTGCGCGCCTGCAGCATCAAATGCGCACAATGGGGCATGAGGGCAGAGTCTTGTCCCCGCTGCTCAGCTGCCGTATCTTTGTCTGTGCTGCTCTGCGTGAGCTGCACTCGGGGGTGACTCTCCTCCAGGAGGGCTACTGGTGAGGAGGGGCCAAGGGGGGAGGCAGGGCTGGGGCAATGGCATGTGTGCCCACAGAGAGGGCTCTGAGTGCCGCCTCTGGAATGTGTGCCATAGGTTCACCATCATTGTTCTAGAGCAATAAAACCTGTCAAGAGGCTGCTGTTTTACAGTCTTTTCACAGGGAACATATGTACTGAGTACTTGTGGGCAATCCCAGGAGCTCATCTTTATCCAGCTCATCTTTATTTCAAGATGCCAATCTGGTTGCTCACACCTTGTTCCGTTGGAGTCATTGGCTCCTCTAAAAGGAAAGCTGTCTTCGGTCCTCTATTTTTTTCCCTGGAAGTTCGATGTCCTATAGATCCCTTAAAGGTCACTATTATAATAAAGAATGATTTTCCTCTGATCTCAGTGGCACCATATGTAACCACAAAAAACTCTGCAGAACTTCTAGAACATATTATTTTCCCAACAACTGGCAAAAGGCAACAAAAAAAATATTTCTAAATCTTATATCGTTCTATTCTATTCGCTAATTGATTAGCTGATAAAATCCCATGTAATTCAAATAGCAAACAGTTAAGCAGGATCAACTACCCTATGGATTATATTCTTAAAGTATAGGCAGCATCATTTTACTTAAGGAGATGGGTTCTAAAATATAGAAAAATATTAGCAGGAAAGCTGAAAGTTGCAAGGAATGTATAAGAAAACAGCAGAAACAAAATTGATATAATAAAATAAAATTCAAATAAAATAAAACAATTACACTGTTACCCTGAATTTTAAAAGTGTTAAAGTTGTTTACTTTAAAAATCAAATGCATGGGTGTGAAATGGGGAAATGTCTTACTAACAATATTTGCAAACGAAAATCTTGTAACAGAAACTGATTGCAAGCACTATATTAAGTTGCAACAAGTATAATTTCTTGCAAAAAGCAAAGTTTCATTTTATTCTATTTTTGCCAGATCCAATCTCAAACAGTTGTATTCAGAAGAATGAAAAGAAACGGGAACAGGTGCTAGGATCAAATACCCAGAAACTATGTGTTTAATGAAGAAAGGATCACTTCCTGATTTCTGCCCTCTTAGTTTTCCTCTATGAGAAGAGGCTGAAAGAACTGGGTACATACTTGGAATTTAAAACAAATAGCTTAGAGGAGATATGATAGCACTTTTCAAACACTTAAAGAGTGTCACATAAAAGAACAATATCTCTGTGAAAGTCACAGAATAAAGATTTTGAATTATAGGAAGACGATTTCTGGTGCCAGCAACAATAAGAAGAGTTCAATAATGGTAGAAGAGTATGACGATAACACAGAAGAAGGAATGCAAGAGAAGTTATGTGAACTCCACTCAGCCATGAAAGAGAGGAAGGAATGAGAAAAAAATTCTGTGAAACTTTCAGAATTCCATTACATGTAGTCCTCGCCTAATAACAGTAATTGTGATCAGAATTTCTGTCTCTTAAGCAATCCTGATGTAAAGCACATTGTGTGATTGCATCACTTAATAATGGCAGTTCTGGCAGGTCCTAGTTACTGATGTTAAGCAAAATACTGCAAGTTATTAAAAAAAGAACTCATGCGACCATGACTTATGTAGGAGAGAGACTGGCCGAGCCAGAGGGAGGAGTCAAATGGGGACTTATGTCTAGAATCCCTATGTGGACACAAGAGTGTGAAGTCTGAGCCCCCCGAATGCCATTAAAACTTATCTAGTCTGACCCATGTGCAAACCATTAGTCTGAGAAGATGCCTGTATATAGCAATAAAACAGCTAATTGAATTCTTTCAGTATGGGCCTGGTTATTCGTTTCTGACACTTATGACTTCCTGTTGGCTTCCCCACTGATTTTTCTTGTGGGCAGGAAAGGTTGCAAATCACAATCAGATGACTCTGGAAGTTGGAAATGTGAGCTGATTGCCAAGCACCCCAATTGCAGTTATGTGACTGGATGGGCATTACAATGGCTGGAACTTCAAGGACCAGTTTTAAGTACCACTTGTTTAGCTTCATTGTAAGTGTAAACAATTGCTGAATGAGTGGTCAGTAATTGAGGACCATGTGTAATATTCCCTGCAATAAAGTTCCAGCTGTTCTTGGCAATCTTGTTTCTTGATTTAGTATACCTTGAAGGACAAACAAAATAATAATAATAATAATAATAATAATAATAATAATAATAATAATAATAATAATAATAATAATTAGTAGTAGCAGTAGTAGTAGTTGGAAGGGACCTTGGAGGTCATCTAGTCCAACCCCCTGCTCAGGGAGGAAACCTTATCATTTCAGAGAAACGGCTGTCCAGTCTCTTCTTAAAAACTTCCAGTGATGGAGCATTTACAGCTTCTGGAGGCAGGTTGTTCCACTGATTAATTGTTCTAACTGTCAGGAAAATTTTGCCTTTGTTCTAGGCTGCTTCTCTCTTTGGTTAGTTTCCATCCGTTGCTTCTTGTACTGCCTTCAGGTGCTTTGGAGAATAGCTTGATTCCCTCTTCTTTGTGGCAGCCCGTGAGATATTGGAAAACTGCTATCATGTCACTCCTCGTCCTTCTCTTTATTAAACTAGCCAACCCAATTCCAGCAACAGTTCTTTATATGTTTTAGCCTCCAGTCCCCTATTCATCTTTGTTACTCTTCTCTTCTCAACATCTTTTTTACATAGTGGTGACCAAAACTGGATCCATTATTCCAAGCGTGCCTTACCAAGGCGGTATAAAGTGGTATTAACACTTCACATGATCTTGATTTTATCCCTCTTTTAATGCAGTCTAGCATGTGTTGGCTTTTTTTGGCAGCTGCAGCACACTGTTGGCTCATATTTAAGTGATTGTCCACTAGGACTCCAAGATCCCTCTCACAGTTGCTACTATTGAGCAAGGTACAATTTCTTTATATGAAAGGAACTAAAGATCTGGTAATTTCAAAATGACTGGAGGCTAATGTTCTAATTTATTTGACTTTAAGTACTGTGTGCAATTTTGGGGATGATACTTTAAAAAGGTTTCAATGAAACTGAAACAGGTTCAGGCAGAGAACAATGCTTATTAGAGGAGTAGAACTAAACCCTGTAAAAAGAGGTTGAAGAAGTAGGTATACTGTCTTTAGCTTTGTAAAAAAAAAAAAAAAAAAAAAAAAAATTCAGGAGGAGGATGGCACTCTAAAATTCCTGGCAGGATTTCACTGAGAAAGTCAAGATTTGTTCATTCATTCCAGACTGAAGGATAAAGAAAAGTGGATTTAAGTCACAGAATGATGATTCCAATTGAATATCAGATAAAAAAAACCTTTGTCTAATAGTAAGAGCAGCTCAATAAAGTAGCCCAGAAGAGTGTGGAAGTGGAAGCTGGACAATCCAGGATGCTGTGATTCAGACTGTTGCACTGGGCAGATCTGATGGTCTCTTCCAACTCTGTTCTAAAATACACACCTTCCCTAAAGTAGTTCAAATATATAATGTATAGATACCAGGAAAAAGGTGGTTCAGCCTCCTGAAAATGTGTGTGTTCCCTGTTTTCTAAGGCTTCTCAGAACAGGTTTACTCTTACAAAAGAAATCTCAGTTCTTTTAAAAACACCACAAAGAGTGTGACAAAGAATTTCTCTCTGTACTTTACCAGAATTGTTAAAGCTTGGTTTAAAATATCCAGACAATTACAAGATATAGGAGAGATACAGAATCATCTATGCTGTTATTTAGTAGCCATATTGAATTTTGTGATCCAGATATGACAGCCCTATATTTCAGAGCTAAAATCGAGCTTTCTTTGTAAAATACCTATTTTGGATAAACAGAGTTTGGTAAATCACTTTCAACAGTAGCCAGAACTTTAAAAGATACTTCTCACAACAAGGCCATATTTGCACAATACTATCCCAGTTAAGTGAACCATAATTTGCCTAATACTCTGGATTTATACAACACACTGCATAACAAACAATACTGTTTGTCATTATTGTGAGAACCCAGTCCAATAATGTTTATTTTATGGAGCATTAAATTATATTTGGCAACATTTTCTTTTCTTGATTGATGCTAAAATGTTCTATTTTCCATCCGAAATGTTTTTTTTCAATCTGTACATTCAGAATGGCAAGGTGAAGCAATGTACCTTTGCCTAATACTCAAACTTAAGGAATGTGCTTTTGTGTTCTGCAAGTGGTGGTGTTCCATGATTTCCTCATCCATGACAGGGTACCAGGAAATTCCCAGATCTATTTCCTTTACTGAGGACATCATAAATACTCTATTTAGATGAGCATCGTTTAGAGCTCTTTAAACATCTGAATGAAATTACAGAGCCTCTGAATAAGAAAAGACATATATTTTCACCATTAAACTCGCTTCTCAAGCCCCAGAATCAAATAAAAGTCATGTTGCAGAGAACTAGCAATCTCAAATCCCTCAAGGCAGCACAAAGGCAGTGTTTGGGGGCCATCTCCATTAACTGATCAACCATAACTTATAAAGTGCCATATTCAAGTACCTACACACCACACAAGCAATGTATTAAAATGTAGGATGATGCATGAACCAAAACCATCACTGCAAAATTCTAACATACAGCTTTAGGTACCATGAGCCATACAACTAGCTAGCAAAATAACTGCTCTCCTCATTCAGCTCCCTCCCCACGTTACGGGTTAAGCAGCCCGATTAAAACAGAAGAAGCTCCTCTAGATAAGGCGTTGTGTTAGCCAGATATGGACTAGGAGCCTTTTGACCCTTCAACTTACGCCTTTCAAGGCCCTTTCAGATGCCACTCCAATGCTGCAACTTACCTGAAGCAAAACCCGCGGAAAACTGGCTCCCCGGGAAACCGAGGGTTGCCCACGGGCGCTTCTGCGTGAATCAGAGGGAAAGAAAAATCGGCAAAGAAGCAAATGCCACTGTCCATTTAGAGGAGGCCCCGCCGCACAAGAGGCTAAGAGGCGAGCGAGGCCTCCTTCTCCTCCTCTCCACGTTCAGCCCAAACCCGAAGCCGACGGAAAAACCAAGCCCAGGCCGCGTCGGCCTCTCCCCAGCAGCATCGACTTACCTGGGCCGCGTTGAGGGAGCTTGACGACAGAAGACCACAACGGCGACAGCCGCCGACCTTTGCTTACTCGCTCGCTCGCTCGTTCCTTCCTCCCTCCCTCTCGTTTCGTCTCAACCAAGCGGAAGTGAGCGCTGTTGTCACTTTGCCACTACATCCGTCTTCCTACAGAGAGAGAGAGAGAGAGAGAGAGAGAGAGAGAGAGAGAGAGAGAGAGAGAGAAACTTGGTCACGTGAAAAGGTCGTCAGCTAATCAGGCTCGCAATCAAGAGGGCACGTGATCTCAACTCTCCATTCCCGAGCCTTACCTCTTCCCGCGCCGAAATAGACTGTGATTGTGCACGTGACGTTCCCTTATCCTCCAGCTGCGCGGTCTTCCTCCTCCTAAAGGTGGTGTCTTCCGTCCCCACACAAACACAGCATCTCCTGGTGGTGGGAGGAGAAACCTACACGTTGGATTAAACTGGATTTGTGTTTTGCGCTTTGCTAGCCACGGGAGAAGTTTTGCAGTTTGGTATTTTGCCCCAATACAGAATAATAGAGTTGGATGGGAACTTGGGGGGTCTTCTGATCCAACTACCTGCTCAAGCAGAAGACACTGTACCATTCTGGACAAATGGTTGTCCAATCTCTTCTTAAAAATCTCCAGTGATGAAGCATTCTGGAGGCAAATTGTTCTACTGATTAATTGTTCTGACAAGAAATTTCTCCTTAGTTCTGAGTTGGAACTCTTCTTGATAGATTGCATCCATTACTTCTTGTCTTATCCTTAGGTCCCTCAGCACAGAAGACTGCTTTCATGTCAATCCTGGTCCTTTTAAAGTTTTTAAAATAGTGTGGAAATCCCAGCGAATTTTAAAACCAACCTAAACAAAACTTAAGAGTCTGCTGTATATTTTGAAGTTGTACTTCTGTGATACTTATCCATATATATTTTATCCATGGTTTACAGCATTTGTTTGCAAGACATACATAATCTGAGTTCAGATAATGCACCAGAGGTAGATGTGATTGACCTCATGACACTGTTGTACAAACCCAGCAAGAATTTTAAAAAAGGATCCACAAAAGTAACCACCCAAAATCATATTGAGCAGGTTGTCATTGGTGTGTATGTGTGTGTGTAATGTGATGAATAAATAAATAAAACTTTCCTCTAAATCTTTTATATTGTAGGCTCCATGCATCTGTTATGTGCTCCTGGCTACTTTCCTTCATGACCAGAGGCAAGCTCGCCTGACCAATAACCAGCCAAGACACAGTGAAGGCCTTTTTGTTTTGTTTATTGCAATAAGTGGAAGAGAAGCTTTCTAAGCTTGGTTCTCTTCAAAGTTTTAACCCAAAATATCTCCTTCTTTTATTCATCCCTATCACCGGCCGCTACAGCCCTCCTCTTTCCCCATTGGCTGAGGTAGTATGAGGTTACACTCTTTCCGTCCGCCTATACACATTTCCTGATAACATACTAAATCATATTCACATATACAATAAGAATAAGAAAAAATATTTTCTTATGGTTATTTTAAACTCAGTATATATTTATGTCTCCATTTTAAACAATAAGTTCTTTTCCTGTTCTCCATTCAACCTTCCTGGCTAGCCATTTCCTTAAAAACAACTATTTATCTATTTTATTACTTCCCTCTTCCTTTCTCAGACCCAGCTATTTTTGCCTATATGGTTATCTTACTTCCTTAATGTTATCTCTTTCTGACTCTCACCATCTGTATTTTTCTTTCTATTCAATTAGTTTCCATTGTATTGTAGGTTTTAACTGTCTCTGAAGATTTATCATATTGATGTATATTTATCACATCCAATTGTCAGACAGGTCCAGTCTCCACACACATATTGAACTAGTTCCACAGCCATTCTATCAACAACCGCATGCATATTCTATTATTTTTCCATTGTGCTGTCTAAACCTATAGCTTTACAATTTTTCAATATTCTAACAGTATTGAGTATTGGATAGAATGATAAAATAAAATTGGATAGATAGTTTTTGCAGATGTTTTATTATACCCAAGCTAGGTAACATCGCTGATGATGTTATCTAGTTTGGATAATGAAATGTCTGCAAGAAAACAACCAAGCTCAGGGAGCACCAAGGACCCCTCAAAACTAAAAATGATTTGTGGGAATAAGAAAACAAAATAAATTGTTTAAAATACAAATCTTTAAAATGTGAATGTTTATCTTGAAGTACAGGGCTTTTTTTTGTCATAGAACGCCCAGAATGGAGTTCCGGCACCTTTTTTGAATGGAACCTTGTAGGGTAGGCAAGGCAGATTGTATGACGTGTGTGAGTTTTGGCACCTTTTTTTTTTTTTTTTTTTTTTTAAAAAAAAACCACTGTTGAAGTATATTTGTACTTCAAGGGACTCGAAGTCCCAACACCATTTGCCAAAAAGAACCCACAACAACGCACAAACCACTTTTTGAGAATACTGGCTCATAAAAAAAATACGAGTTCCTGCAATAGTAGTAGAGGGTAATATGACTATACTGCAACAGAACCAGCTGAGAGTTAATGGGCTCATTCTGAGAACTTTGCTACATTCTTTAAAGATATGCATGATAATTAAATCCATCAGTTCAAAGTAGATTAATTTTCTTGCCCTTACAGAAAGATGAGCAGTCTCATAGAAACTGCGTGCTGAAACAGTCTCTGTCTCTTAAGATACATAGGTTAGTCTGATCTTGCTACAGGTTCTGTTTTATGTGAAGAATATTTCTCTGTTTGAAAGGATGTTCAGTTCAAGTCCAAAGGAAGAACAAAATCCACCCCCCAGTGGCTGCAAAACATAGGCAGTAGCTTGAATCACAGCTATACAAATCATTTCCCCACATTGTCCTTCAATATGACAAGAACTAGATCTTATATTTCTCCATATTTTGTGATTAATTTAAGACTTTTTGGTTGTTTATTATTTATTTAGTATATTAGATTCAAAGCAATTAAAGCTGCAAAACATAGCTAAGAAAGAAATATGAACCCCCCATGTTTTTTGCTTTTACAACTATTCATTTAGGGACAATTCAAAGAACTGAAAAAAATGACTTATGATTAGTCTTCACATTTACAACTCTCCCAGCATTCTCATAGTCATGTGATCAAAACTTCAGGTGCTTGGCAATGTGGAGGAAATTTAAAAATAAAAATATATATGCTTTTAGTATTATCATGTAATCATATTTTATATTTTATAATTATCATTGTATAATCAATTGCTTGAGTAGATGCTTTGAGTATATAGGGAACATACAAGCCTCAGGTGGAGGAAGGGGGGAGAACAGGAGTTACCATGGGGCCCAGTGTGAGTCACCATCTAGGAATTGTTTTTAAGTACCTTCTGGTGCCTGGTACCCCTACTGGATCTAACAGGTGTAGAAGATGGGAGACATCTCTCCTCTAGAATTGATATAGGATAGTAGGGGAGGGATCTTATTAGTATAATGTATTCTGTTTAGGCGCTTCTGATAGATTGTAACCTCCAAAGCCTAAGCCAATGGGGCCATGGGGGAGGGAATGGGGCGTCGCGATAGGATGTATAATAATATGTGATTTTGGAATTTGGCGTGTGGTTCAGTGCTTGGCTACATTGCATTGCCTTCCTGAATCCACCACGCTTTGCAAACCGTTATTTTTTTTAGACTTGGATGTGAAGTCTAATAAACTTTCTTTCTATTTGTAACTTAGAGTGGATTTCAATTTGTGACTATTTTTGTGTCTAACAGCAACAGGCATGTATTTTCATCAGTTGCAATGTCCTGAGACATGCAACTGCCATTTTGCAACCTTCCCAGCTGGCTTCCAACAAGCAGAGTCAATGGGGGAAGTTGGATTCACTTAAAGATCATACGATTATGTGGGAAGAATCCAGAGAAAGAAATATTTGGGGGAATATTAAAAAGGCAGAAACTTCACCTACCCTCCCCCCCCCAGCAGAAAACTCAGTAGAGGCCAGCTTTTAGAAATGCAAATTCAATAATCCTTTCAGAAAGGTTGGAGCCTTCCAGCTAGAAACTGAAGAGACTAGGAAGACAAAGACCCCCAAAATCTACATACCCTACCCAAACTCTTAAAGATATGACCTTTGGGCAGTGGTGGGATTCAGATATGTGAACAACCAGTTCTCTGTGTGGATGCTGCTTCCAGAAGTCCATTCTGGGCCTGGGCAACAACAAATTAGCTACCAGTTCTGCTGAAGTGGTGCAAACTGGCTGAATCCCACCACTGCCTTTGGGGACATAACAGGATTAACCCACCAATACCAAAAGGGCATACTCAGACTCAGGTCAAAGTACATGACACAGGAAATACAAAGCCTCAAACAGGAACAGGAAACAACCTCAAAAGCCCCAGAAGGTATAAAAATCCACCACTCCCAGCTACATGTGGTCAGCTTTCCCAGAGCCATCTTTCTGTCTGGCTCTGCTCTTTAATAAACCACAAACTTCTTTCTAAAGCAGTCTCCATTTTGTTTATTCCCAGCTTGGACTGGACCCTGATGAAGATTTTTCTTTCAACAATTAACTTAATGACTGCAATGATTCGCTTAATAACCATGGCAAAAAGGATGGTAAAATAGTCCCAAAGGTGCTTTTTTATTGGCCAAAAAAGCACCTTTGGGACAATAATGACCTGGATGACTGAGAACCTCCATAGATGGTAAAACAGGATACAACTCACTTAACATTTGACTTGCTTAGCAATGAAAATCCTGGTACCAAATTACGCACTGGAGACAAATTCCTTGCGTCCAATCACACATGGCCAATAAAAAATCCTATCCTATCCTATCCTATCCTAATTTTCTATTCTATGCTATGCTATTCTATGATGTGATTGTAAGTCAAGGATTACCTATAATGCTGTCTCAGGACCTGTTGGAAAAGTCCAGTCGTCAAGGTTTTCTGAAGGACAATAGTTGCCCACAGTAACAATGACCATATACCTTCAGTAAAAATACTTGAGTTGCACAGTGTTGGGCCTTTACAAAATACCAGCAGAGAACTGTGTTTTTCTCTGCTGCCCTAGATCGGCTGTTAGGATTTTTGAAGCCAAGTTCTGGCAGCTCTAATGTGGACCCTCACTTTAGGAGAAGGGATAGGATTAAATATTTGGTTACAGTTAGTCCTTGACTTAAAATAGTTTCTTTAAT